TCGCCCAGCCGCCACCGGCCCAAGCGCGAGAGGTCGCCCAGCCACAGTCTGGCGCGGGACCCAGCGTGGGCGCGGCGCGGCGACACCCCGCCCGGCCGCGCGCGGCGTAAGACCGGGAAGCACGCTGGGCAGCTTCGCGCTCCTCGCGGCGGCTGGTACGAGCAGGAGGAAAAGCGGCGGCGTGCTGCCGCCGCGGAGGCTGCCGCGGGCGGGGGTGGGATCCCAGCCTGGCGTGGCAAGGGCGCGGGCGACAAGGGCGGCAAGGGCGGCAAGGACAAGGGCAAGTACTCCGGCAAGGCCGCCAAGGGCTCCAAGAGCGGCGGCAAGGGCGACAAGAGCGGCAAGGGCGGCCGCTCCAAGGGCGACCAGGGCAGCCGCGGCCGGAGTGAGCGCGACTGGCCCAGCGCGGACGGTCGCGCGTCGAGGGGCGGCGATGGCAGCAGCCCCCGGGACCCCAGTGAGCGCGGCGGAGACCGCAGCGGAGGCGAGAGCCGCGACCGCCGGGGGAACACGCCCTCCATCTAGGCGCGGAGCTCCCCCCCCCCGTACCCCGACGCCAGCGCCCGCGGCATCGCGGGCGCGGGCTGACGGCGGCGGCCTGTGAGTGAGTCGGCCCTCCTCTCAGCCCACCGTGCGCAGGTGGCGCCTGCGATCCTTGAGCCTACGGTGCGCAGGTGGCGCCTGCGAGCTTGTTTCTTTTAGCCTACGGTACGCAGGTGGCGCCTGCGATCTCTTTCTTTAGCCTACGGTACGCAGGTGGCGCCTGCGATCCTCCCTCTTGGAGGAGTTTAACGCTGCGCGCACGTCGCGTGCTTCCTGGACCCGGCCGTGCTGCGCGTCTTGCGCGCCGTGCGGTCGGGGCCACACTTGCGCTCTGCGCCCGGCGCCTCGTGCGCCGCCACCCTTTTCGGTTCTTTTGCGCGCATCGCGCGCGCGCCGCGCCCGCGCTCTGGGTGCGCGGGCGCGGAAGGCCTCAAGGTTGCAGGCAAGTGGCCGCGCGCGCGAGACTCTTGCAGCCTCTGATCCCGCCCTCGCACTCGGGCGGGGCGCCCCCCCGCGCGCGCGGCTGCGTCTTTCTTTTCTCATGGCCGAGCGGCCGCAGGCGTGCCAGAGCGCGAGCGCGCGGGCAGTCAGGGCCCACGCGCTCGCGTTGAGCGTGGGGCCACCAGGGCCCACGCTCGGCGGAGATGCGCGTCGCCACGCTGCCATGAAAATACCATCGCCCTGTCCTGGTCCCTCTCTCGTCCTCTCCTCTCCTCCTCCTCCTCCGTTGAGTGCACGCGTATCTCACTTAACTTGTATAGTCTGATTGGTTGTAGACTGCAGGTTAAGTGGGAGGGGGTGTGGGCTCAGGTAGCCATTTTGGGTCCGTAGCGTTCGGCTCTGGCCGACGCGCGGGTGCCCACCCACCCCGCTTTGCTCCCAGACGCCTGCGTCGGCCGAGCGGCCACAGGCGTGCCAGAGCGCGAGCGCGCGGGCCGTCAGGGCCCACGCGCTCGCGTTGAGCGTGGGGCCACCAGGGCCCACGCTCGGCGGAGATGCGCGTCGCCACGCTGCCATGAAAATACCATCGCCCTGTCCTGGTCCCTCTCTCGTCCCCTCCTCTTCTCCTCCTCCTCCGTTGAGTGCACGCGTATCTCACTTAACTCCTTGTGTTGGATCGACGCTGGCTGACATAGCGCGGGGAGGAAAAGGAAGAGCAGGAGGGAAAGGAAGAGGATGTGGAGGGGGTGAAGGAGGACAAAAACGAGGAGGAAGGGAAAAGCTAACTGCGTTCGTGCCACATCTCACATCCCACTCCTCCCAACCATCCCTTCACATGTCGCTGTTGTTTCTCCATCCGCCGACGCGTGCCATTGTCGGACCTGGAATCCCAAAGACGACCACATCGTGTGATGCGCAATCAGAAAATGAAGCTACGTACGTTGGAGAAGGGGGTGGTGGATGTGCAGGGGAGGTGATCAAGAGGAACAGGAGGAGGAGGAGGAAGGAGGAGGAGGAGGAGGACTAAAAGCAGCAGCAGAGGCTGGAGCGGAAGGAGCGGGAGAAGCGGGAGGACCAGGGGAAGGCGGACGGGAAAACGAGGGGTTGGGGCGAGAGCGCCATGCTGAACGACGGGAGCAGAGCGCCGATCTGAAGATGTGGCCCACGCGGCAACAGGAGAAACATCTGGAAACACCGACAGCAATCGGAGTCTGCAAAGAATGCGAAACATTATCCCGGCGAAGGACCCAACCATATGCAAGTGTGAGAACCGCAGGGGTGCGCCAAAATGGGGCGGGGCCGCCATGCGAACCCTGCCAGTGGGGCCTTCGTAGGAATTCCCTATGGGGCCACGAACCGTGTGATGAGTGCGCCAGAATGGGGCGGGGCCGCCATGCGAACCTTGCCAGTGGGGCCTTCGGTGGAGCTCCCCATGTATGGGGCCACGAAACGTGTGATGGATGCGCCACAATGGGATCGGACCGCCATGCGAACCCTGCCACTGGGGCCTTCCGCGGAGCTCCCTGTGGGGCCACGAACCGTGCGAGGGGTGTGCCAGAATGGGGCGGTGGTGTCATGCGAGCCGTGTGAGGGGTGCGCCAGAATTGTGCGGGGCCGCCATGCGAACCCTGCCACTGGGGCCTTCGGTGGAGTTCCCTATGGGGCCACGAACCGTGTGAGGGGTGCGCCAGAATGGGGCGGTGGTGTCATGCGAACCCTGCCAGTGGGGCCTTTGGTGGAGCTCCATGTGGGGGCACGAACCGTGTGAGGGGTGCGCCAGAATGGGGCGGGGCCGCCATGTGAACCCTGCCACTGGGGCCTTCGGTGGAGTTCCCTGTGGGGCCACGAACCGTGTGAGGGGTGCACCAGAAATGGGCAGGGCCGCCATGCGAACCCTGCCACTGGGGCCGTTGGTGGAATTCCCTATAGGGCCACGAACCGTGTGTGCGCCAAAATGGCACGGGGTTGCCATGCGAACCATGCCACTGGGGCCTTCAGTGGAGCTCCCTATGGGGCCACGAACCGTGTGAGGGGTGCGCCGAAATGGGGCGGGGCCGCCATGCGAACCCTGCCAGTGGGGCCTTCGGTGGAGCTCCCTATGGGGCCACGAACCGTGTGAGGGGTACGCCAAAATGCGGCGCGGCCGCCATGCGAACCTTGCCACTGGGGCCTTCGGTGGAGCTCCCCCTACGGGGCCACGAACCGTGTAAGGGGTGCGCCAAAATGGCGCGGGGCCGCCATTCGAACCCTGCCACTGGGGCTTTCGGTGGAAATCCTTCTGGGCCACGAAACGCTGTACTGGGTGGATGAAGCGCAAGGGAGGAAGGAGGAGGGGGAGGGGAGGCAGCGGGAGAAGGAAGGAAGGAAGGAAGGAAGGAGGACGCGGGCGCTGTCTTTTCAAAACGAGGACCCAACACCACAGGATGGTTGGGAACAAAAGCTGCTGACAACGACGCTCCGACAATTTGCGATAGTGACGACTTTCCAGACTCTGGACTCCCGTGACACTGAGCGCGGTACGAACCATCCCATTGGGACCTTCGGTGGAACTCCTTGTGGGGTCACGAACCGTGTGAGGGGTGTTCCGAAATCGAAGCGGCGGTGCCATGCGAACCCTGCCATTGGGGCCTTCGGTGGAGCTCCCTATGGGGCCACGAACCGTGCGGTTGGGGGGCCGCGAGAATTGGGCGGTGGTGCCATGCGAACCTTGCCTTGAGGCCGTCGGTGGAACTCTCTATGGGGCGACGAACCGTGTGAGGGGTGCGCCAGAATGGGGCGGTGGTGCCATGCGAACCCTGCCACTGAGGCCTTCGGTGGATTTCCCTATGGGGCCACGAACTGTGCGGGGGGGGGGCGCCAGAACGGGGCGGGGCCGCCATGCGAACCCTGCCACTGGGGCTTTCGGTGGAGCTCCCCCTATGGGGCCACGAACCGTGTGAGGGGTGCGCCAGAATGAGGCGGTGGTGCCATGCGAACCCTGCCACTGGGGCCTTCGGCGGAACTCCCTATGGGGCGACGAACCGTGTGAGGGGTGCGCCAGAATGGGGCGGTGGTGCCATGCGAACCCTGCCACTGAGGCCTTCGGTGGATCTCCCTATGAGGCCACGAACTGTGCGGGGGGGGTGCGCCAGAATGGGGCGGGGCCGCCATGCGAACCCTGCCACTGGGGCCTTCGGTGGAGATCCCCCTATGGGGCCACGAACCGTGTGAGGGGTGCGCCAGAATGGGGCGGTGGTGCCATGCGAACCCTGCCACTGGGGCCTTCGATGGAGCTCCCTGTGGGGCCACGAATCGTGTGAGGCGTGCGCCAGGATGGGGCGGTGGTGCCGTGCGAACCCTGCCACTGGGGCCTTCGGTGGAGCTCCCTATGGGGCCACGAACCGTGTGAGGGGTGCGCCAGAACGGGGCGGCGGTGCCATGCGAACCCTGCCGCAAGGGCCATCGCTCCCTATGAGGCCACGAACCGTGTGAGGGGTGTGCCAGAATGGGGCGGCGCTGCCATGCGAACCCTGCCACTGGGGCCTTCGGTGGAGCTCCCTATGGGGCCACGAACCGTGTGAGGGGTGCGCCAAAATGGGCGCGGTGGTGCCATGCGAACCCTGCCACTGGGGCCTTCGGTGGAGCTCCGTGTGGGGCCGCCAAACGCGTGAGGGGTGTGCCGAAACAGAGACATTCGGAGGGCAGAGGCAAGGAGGGGGAGGAGAAGAAGGAGGAGGAGGAGGAGGGGGAGAGGAGGGAGGAAGGAGGAGACGCGCCGCACCATCTCTTCAAAACGAGGACCCAACACCACAGGACGGTTGGGAAATATGTGTTTGAAATCCTGTGTATGACAAGCAGTACGCGGAAAGAGCCGAATATCTTCCGGACAGGGTCAAGGGACAGTGGAGAGTAGTTCTCATAATGCCAGGGGGGACGATCTCGCGGAGGTAGCAGGAGAGGAGGACAAAGGTGAGAAGGGGGAAGGATCAACGAGGAGGAGTGGCAAAAGCAACAGCTATCTCCGGTGCCTGTCCTCAGGTTCAAGCGCTTGATGGATATGCCCACCATGCGTGAGGCGCGCCGCCATCGCAAAATGGATTCTCCGCATGCTGAGCATGCAGTTCTCTCCCCACGGTCAGCCAGATGTGTTCTTCACGTTTTGTTCAATCTGCTTCTATGTACGGCTTCCCCTCCGCTTGTCCTAGAGATCTTAACGCCTTTTTTTCCAGACTTCTTCCCTCGTGCGCCCTGACCTGGAATTCGAGGCGAATCCCGCCGTGGGGGAGGAGGGGGAGGCCATTAGTCTGACGGATTGGGGGTGGGCGGGGGAAGCGTGCTAGAGGTTGCCACTTCGAAGCAGGGCAGGCTTCCCGCAGGGCCCCGACGCTCATTCAAAGCGTGTCCGCACCCGGTGCCAGCTCAGCACGCACTGGCGGAGCCTGTTGAGCAGATGAGCCGACGAGCGCGCCACAGGACGAGGGCGGCGAGCAGGCGCGGCGGAGGTGGGGGAGGCCGCGGAGGGGCCAGAGGAGAACGCGCCGCCCTGACAGACCCGCGCACGAGCCCCGAAGGGAGGAGGGCAGGAGTTGCGGAAGGCCCGTGGAGGGCTCCTCCTCGGCTGCGTCTGGGGCGCTTCTGGGAGGCATCTGGGGAGGCGGAGCCCCTCGGCGCACCCCAGCGGCCACCCCGCCGCTCTGCCAGGGTCCGCCAGGGTGCGCGCTGGATGCTTCGTCTCCCTTGTCAGTGGAGCGCAGGGGCGGCCGGACTCGGCCTAAGGAGCAGGAGCAGGACCAGGAGGAGCAGGAGGAGGAGGAGGAGGAGGGGGAGGAGGAGGGGGTAGGAGGAGGGGAGAGGAGGAGGAGCAGGACCAGGAGAAGCAGGTCCAGGAGGAGAGAGGAGGGGAGGAGGAGGAGGGAGGAGGAGGAGGAGGAGGAGGAGAGGAGGAGGAGGAAAGGAGGAGGAAAAGGAGGAGGAAAGGGGAGGAGGAAAGGAGGAGGAAGGAGGAGGAAAGCAGGGAGGAGAAGAAGGAGGAGGAGGAGGAGGAGGAGGAGGAAAGGAGAAGGAGGAGGAGGAGGAGGAGGAGGAGGAGGAGGAGGCAGCAGGAGGAAGAGGAAGGAGGAGGAGAGAGGAGGAGGAGGAGGAGGAGGAGGAGGAGGAGGAGGCAGTGGAGGCGCAGCGGCGCGGGCGGGCGGGGCGGCCACGGCCACGCGGGTGCCGGGGGGGCGGGGTCGGTCTCGGCCGGCGGGCTGTGCCCAGCAGGAGGGCAGCCATGAGGCCGACGACGACGACGACGACGACGACGACGACGACTACGACGACGACGACCCCGCCGAGGAGCTCGAAGCACCGCGGCGACGGCAACAGCGGCGACGGCGACGACGGCGAGCCTCCGAGCGGTTCGAGCCTCGGGGGCGACGGCGGCGACGGCGACGACGACGAGCCTGAGAGGAGCTCGAGCCGCGGCTGCCCCGTCCCCTAAAGGCAACCCGCTGGGGAGTACCCGCACCCTGGGGGTGGGGTGGGGGGGCGGGAAACTGGGGGGGGGCCCCCGTGGGGGGGGGAGGCAAGACGGGGGAAGGCCAGTAAGGTTCCAGTGTTGGTTTTTGATTCGGATGTCATTGTTTGATAATTTTCAAAATGCCCGAATCAGAGCCAGACCGGGACTGGTCACAGTCACGCTGCGCGTTATTCAGTGGTTATCGAATCATGCAGCTCGAACCCTACCTGGACCAATCTGGATCATAGTTCGGGTGCATTAATATCGTTCTAATAATTCGAGTACACCCAAAACACAATTGTGATTGTGACCAGTCTTGGTGCTGGTCCTTGTCCGGTCACAATGTTCGAATGCATTCACAATAGCGCGACCAGACCAGAACCATGACCAGGATTGTCCCTGGTTATAATTGTGGCTCGAGTTGCAGCCGCGTAGATATTTCAATTATTGCCAATGAACAGAAACCAGAACCGTGACCAGAACCAGTCCTGGTCGCAGTTGTGGTTCGGGCTGCGTTGATAGTATTAAACATTCAATTGTGAATGTCAATCGACCGAAACCAGAACCATGACCAGGACCAGTCCTCTTCACAGTTGTGGCTCGGGGTGCATCCTTATTATTAGTAGTAGTACACTATGAATGCCAATCGACCCGAAGCCAGTCGTGTGACCAGAACCACTCTTTGTCACAGTTGCGGTCTGGTTTGCATACGTAGATTTACAATTTGTCAGTGCCAACCGACCGAGACCAGAACCGTGACCAGAACCCGTCCTGGTCACAATTGTGGTTCGGATTGCGTTGATATCATTACAGCGCTGTTAATCCCAATCCCAATCGACCGAACGCAGAACCATGCCCATAATCAAACCTGGTCACAGTTGTGGTTCGGGTTGCGTGAACACCATTACAGTTACACTTAGCGCCACTCGACCCAAGCTAGAACCATGACCAGGACTGGTCTTTGTCACAGTTGTGGTTCGGATTGCATCCATATGATTAGTACAATACGAATGCCAATCAACAGAAACCAGACCGTGACCAGAACAAGTCCTGGTCACAAGTGTGCTGGGCTGCACGAATGTCATTGTGATATTATCAATAGGTTCCAAACGAAACCAGAACGGTGACCAGGATCTGTCTTGGTCACAGTTGTGGTTCGGGTAACGTTAATAGTAGAGTACTACGATTCCAGCAATCGACCGAAACCGCGACCGTGACCAGAACCAGTCTTGGCCACAGTTGTGGATTGAAATTCTGTCTGTGTAAGATTTAAAAAACTAATCGACCGAATGCAGAAACGTGACCAAAACCAGTCTTGGTCGCAAGTGTCATTCTGGTTGCATCAACACTTGTATTAGTATGTATGCCATTCGACCCGAGCCAGAACTGTGACCAGGACCAGTCTTGATCACTGTTGTGGTGTGGGTTTCGTTATCATTCGCGAAAAAATCATCGCCAATCGGCCTATCTAAAATTGTGACGTGGTCCAGTCTATGTCACACTTTGTTTGGTTCTGGTTGCAAATATCATGATCGAAATATTGTTAATGCCACTCGAACCAAACCAGAACCGTGACCAGCAACAGTTCTCATCACAAGTGTGGTCCGGGTTGTACCAATATTAGCATCATATAATCAGTGCTAGTTGAGTTAAACCACAGCCGTGACCATGTCCATTCCTGGTCACAGTTGTGGTTCGGGCTGCATTCATAATAGTGCTCGAGGTCCGACAGACCACGACCGTGGTAGGGCTGCAGTGCGGTTCTAGCGTTGCTTGGGGTCGGGCGCACGCTCAGCGGGAATTCCAGTCCATGTGCCCGGGCCCCACGCGCTCTCGCCTGGAACTTCCGCAGAATTCGTTCAAGGAGCGCGATCCCGCCCCACGGGCGTCAATATCGTGCTCTGGAGTTTCTATCTATGTTTCCATTGGTTATTCTTCCTAGTTTACTCAGGACCTGGGGAAACCAAGAGGTACCGATAGCCCTACTCCCCGGACCTCTCCCATGGTGCGTTCTGACCAGCACTTCGAGGCGAATCCAGCGGAGGCGACGAGGGCCGCCCAGGAGGCCCCAAAAAGGGGAAAACGACGAGAAGGTAGCGGTAATGGAGGATGCCGATTAATAAATGACCGGGGGTCGTGTTCACGCGGCGGCGCCTGGGATGACGATTCGAAAAAACCGGCCGCGGGCTGGAAAACTATGTTTGATTGTTCTCCTCCAGTCAGAAACTTGTGCGGAAATAGCAGGAAACTATGTTTCTAATCGTTCTCTCCCATTTTTTATTCATCGTCATCCCGCATTATGGGTATCTCTTCCTCCTCTGAGGACTGGCACTCATGTCGTGGCCGTCGCTGCCCTTCTGCGGCGTCCCCCGCTCGAGGGCCCGCAGCCCGCGGAGCGGGGCTGGCGCCCTGCCCCTGCGGGCGTGGCGTGCGCGGCCTTCGGCGGTGGGCGGGAGGACCATCGACCCTCGGGGCTCCCCGCTGCTCTGCGCGAACGACATGGGCACGGAAAGAATGGGTACTCCAGATTTCGTAACAAACAAGGGTGAGCTCATGCATAGTTTTATGCACAAACGAACCATGCATTAAACATCATATGTTTATATACTCCAGATTTCGTAACAAAAGGGAGGGGGTTTGGACCCTCCAGGACAAAGCCATCTCAGACCTCCCCCGTGGGAGAGCCCTCCAAAACATCGTCCCCAGACCCCCCAGGCCCCCCAAGATAGCCTGGAAGAGACCCCCCCCGAAATGAGACCCCCCTCCCTTTATTACGAAATCTGGAGTACAATACCCAACAGCGGATCCCGTTCATTTTGAGCAGGACTCGCTGTCCACGCCGCCGCGGCCTGTGTCCGTTCGAGGCAGAAGGCCGCCTGCCCCACAGCGGCCGCTGTTGGTCTGGGGCAACATTTGTTGTTGGGCATTGTACCCATTCTTTCCGTACCCATTTCGGGCGTCCAAAGCTGCGGCGCGGGATCGTGGGTCTGCGCTGGCACTGGCGGTCGGCTTCTGGACCTGGATCAGATGAGGAAAAGGTACCCAGACTGCCACTATCCCCTCCATCTTCTTCGTTTTGGGCCTCCTGGGGGGCCCTCGTCGCCACCGCTGGATTCGCATCGAAATCCTGGTCAGAACGCGCCCCAGGAGAGGTCCAGGGATTGGCAATATCGGTACCCCTTGGTTCCCCCAATGGACTTGGCCTTATACTTGTTCCTGTGTGCGCTCCATGGAACCAGCGCAGCCATTTGCAGCCACCTCGGTCCTGCTCGGTTGGCTTGGCCGTGGTATTCCTGGTAGGCATCCGTGCGTCGGTTCAGCATGTGGGGGGGCGACACGGCCTCAGAGGCGGTAGATTCCTGTGGCGGTGTCCGATCCTGTGAGGACGTCGAAGATACGCGAGTGCGGGTGGAGAACAGTGCGGCTCCACGTAAGCTCTACGTCTGTCCACCTGCTGGCGTCCGCGCGGTGGGAAGGGGGATATATATACATATATATATATATGTATATATATATAATATTTATATTTCTATTTATATATAATACATATATATATTTATATATGCAAATGTATATGCATATGTAAAAGGTATATGTATACGGATATGTAGGTGTATTAATATGTATATATATATATATATATATATAAGGAGAGGGAGGGGGGAGGGGGAGAGAGAGAGAGAGAGAGAATCGCGGATGGGGCGCATGGGTTGCTGACGGGCTCCCTGGGGCCCTGCGGTTCCCTGAGGGCGCCGCCGCGACGGGGAAGGGCGGGGCCTCCAGGTCAACAGGCTCGCCGACGAGCGCGCCGGCCTGAGGGCCGTGGCCGAGGCTCTGCGCACCGCGTCGTCGCCCGTCGTCGTCGCCGCCGCCGCCGCCGCCGCTGCCGTCGCCGTCGTCGTCGTCGTCGTCGTCGTCGTCGTCCTCGTCGGCGTCGGCGTCGTTGGCGTCGTCGTCGTCGACCGTGGACGGGCGTCCAGCGTCCGGCCGCCGTCGTCCGTCGTCCTCATCGTCGTCGTCGTCGTCGTTGTCCGATGTCGTCGCCGTCGTCGCCGCCGCCGCCGTCGTCGTCGTCGCCCGTGGTCGGTCGTCTGTCGTCCGTCGTCCGTCGCCCGTCGCCCGTCGTCCGTAATCTTCATCGTCGTCGCGCGCGCCGTGGCCGAGGCCCTCTGGCCCTACCGCGACCGCTTCTACGCCAGCGCGCGGGCAGCCAGGCGCGCGCTCGGCTTTCCCCCTCCCGTCGCTGCTGCCGCCCCTCCTCTCGATGCCGCTCGCCCTGTCCCTGCGGTGCCTCTGGCCTCGGCCCTCGTGGTGCTGCCTGTGCTCCTGCGGCTCTCCCGCTCCTCCCCGCTCTGTTCCCGCCCCCGATTCACTTGCTCCTCCGTCGCCCCTGATTCTCCTCATCGGTGCCTTCCCTCTTCTCTCCTCGTCCCGTTTGCCCCCCCCCTCTCGTGTTGTTCGTTCTCTCTCTCTCCCTCTTTCTCTCTCGCTCCCTCCCTCTCTCTCTCTCTCTCTGTATCTCTCCCTCTCCCTCCATTTCTCTTTATGTATATGTTTACCTCTCCATGTCTATCCCTCTTTCTCTCTGTTCCCGCTCCCGATGCGCTTGCTCCTCCGTCGCCCCTGATTCTCCTCGTCCCGTTTGCCCCCCCCCCGTGTTGTTCGTTCTCTCTCTCTCTCTCTCTCTCTCTCTCACTCCCTCCCTCTCTCTCTCTCTCTCTTTCTGTATCTCCCTCTCCCTCCATTTCTCTTTATGTTTGTGTTTACCTCTCCATGTGTATCGTTTTCTCTCTCTCTCTCTGTGGTTTATATATTGTTTGTCTGTCTCTCTCTCTCTCTCTCCATGCCTCTCTGTCTCTCTGTCTCTCTGTCTCTCTCTCTCTCTCTCTTTCTCTCTCTCTCTCTCTCTCTCTCTCTCTCTCTCTCTATATATATATACATATGTCTATATATTCCTATGTACATTCCCTACCTAGGCTCTGCCTAGAAGGGTGCTTACTGTGTTTGCTTAAAGGGGCCGGGCAGTGCTCCCCGCCCCGGGCGGTTCCCCCAGGATCCGCCCCGCGGTTCCCCCAGTGACGTTCCCTTAGCTTATCGTTGCTTATCTCATCTTAGCTTAGCTTATTTCATCTCAGCTTAGCTTAGCTTCATCTTAGCTCAGGTGTATTTCATCTTAGCTTACCTTAGCGTCATCTTAGCTCAGGTGTATCTTAGCTCAGCTCACCTCAATATTAGCTTCGCTGAGCTTTAGCATAGCAGAGCACAGCATAACGTAGCATAGCGTAGCATAGCAAAGCGCGGCACAGCATATCATAGCATAGCCCAGCATAGCATATCATAGCATCGCATAGCATAGCGCAGCACAGCACAGCGCAGCATAGCATAGCATAGCATAACAGAGCAGAGCGCAGCATAGCGTAGCATAGCTTAGCTCAGCATAGCATAGCACAGCACAGCACAGCATAGCATAGCATAGCATATTGCAGCATCGCATATCATAGCATAGCACGGCGCAGCATAGCATAGCATGGCATGGCATAGCATAGCGCAGCATAGCGTAGCATAGCGTAGCATAACGCAGCATAGCATATCATAGCATAACCTAGCATAGCATAGCATAGCGCAGCGTAGCATAGCATAGCACAGCGCAGCATAACATAGCATATCATAGCATAGCGCAGCATAGCATAGCATAGCATATCATAATATAGCATAGCGCAGCCTAGCATACCCTAACGTAGCGCAGCATAGCATAGCGCAGCATAGCGCAGCATAGCGCAGCATAGCGCAGCATAGCATAGCATAGCATAGCATAGCGCAGCATAGCATAGCATAGCATAGCATAGCATAGCATAGTAGCAAAGCAAAGGCAAAGCAACAGCTGCAACAGCAAAGCAAAGCACAAGCAACGCAAAGCAAAGCAAAGTGTAGATGTAGATGTATATGTGAGTCTCGCTGTTGATGTTGATGTAGATGTAGGTGCAGGTGTAGATGTTAATGTAGCTGTCGGTGTAGATGTAGATGTTTCTTTCCTAGATGCTCCAACTCCTAGGTAGGGTCGCACTGGGATAATTTTGGTCTAGGGCCAGGGACCCCGGAAAAAGCGCACCCCCCCACACCTAACGAATTTCGGACTCCCCGGGCTGCTTGAAGCCCCCCCCAGGCTGCTCGGACGCCCTTGCAAAGGGGTCCTTCGGCCTTCCGGCCTTCTCGGAAGGTCCAAAAAGGCTTCCAATATTGCCCAGAACAGCTCGTCGATAGTTCCAAAGCACACCAAAACCTTCGACATGGCTTCCAAACGCCCCAAGAGGCCTCCAAGAGGCTTCCCAAGAGGGCCCGAAGAGGCAAAATTCATTGAGTGTTCAATGATTTTTGAAGGCTTTCTCGGTTTTCGCTTTTCCGGGACAAGAACGGCCCAAGACGGCCCAAGAGGCTCTAAAGATCGGCCCAACATGGCCCCAGAGGCCCCCCAAAAGGCTAGAAAATTGCCCAAGAGGGCCCCTAGACGGCCCAAGAGAATGCCCAAGACGGCCCCAAGAGAGCCCAACAGGCCCCCAAGACAGCCCGAAGACGGCCGAAGGCCTCCAAGACGTCCCAAGACGGCCCGAAAGGGCCCCGAAACGGTCCAAGAGAGTCCCAAAACGGCCCAAAAGGCCCCCAAGAAGGCCCAAAGATGCAAAAATCATCGATTTGTTGAAAAGGTTTGAAGGCTTTTTCGGTTTTCGCTTTTTCGGGCCACGAACGGCCCAAGACGGCCCAAGAGCGTTTTACATGGAATTCCCTTGCAAAGCAATTCTTGCACTGAGGTAGACATCGTTTAACACATTACCGTGGTAAAACGAACGTCGGACGCTGTTGGGACGTTCAGACGTTGGAAGGCGTTGTCATGTGATATCCATACGTGCCCATACGTGCATACATACATACATACATACACACATACACATGCATACATACGCAAGATAAGTTCACATGTGCGCACACATCCCCCCCGAACGCATTTCGGACTCCCCGGGCTGCTGGGAAGCCCCTTCCCGGGCTGCTCGACCTGCTGGGAAGCTCCCCGGGGGCTGCTCGGACGCTCTTGCAAGGCGGTTATTCGACCTTCCGGCCTGAGGTGTTCAGACCACTCTTCGCTTGAGACTCCCTCGCACAGCTGACTTCGGAGATGCCCTGCCCCATAGTGCTCGGGCCAGTTTCGCCTGATACATCCTCGCAACGTCAACCTCGGATACGCCTTGCCGCGTAGCAATCAGATACGTAGCACTCCGACACGTTCACAATGCCTCCAGATTTTTCCCAAACGTTCTGGCGGCGCCCGTCGTTGAGTCCCTCTCAGGTCCTCCTGTCTTTCAACGCTTTCGGAGGCCAGCTCCCAGCGTCTTGCACCCGCGTCAGTTCCAGCCTCCATGCCATGACTTCCGATCCTGAGCGTTCGCGCCTGCCTGTCCTCGGGCCCGGGGGACTCCTCCCATTACTCTTTCCCTTCGCCTTCCTCCTTTCCACTGTCGGCCGAGACATCCTCGCAACTCTGACCCCAGAGAAGCCCTGCCCCAAGGTTGTCCGGCCACTTCCGCTTGAGACCTTCTCGCCATTCTGGGTTCCCGAGCTCCCTGAGTTGAGGTGTTCGGGCCACTTTTGCTAGAAACATCTTCGCAACTCTGGATTCCGAGATGCCCTGCCGCAGAGTAGTCCGCCACTCTCACATGAGACATCCTCGCAACTTTGGATTCAGGGATGCCCTGAGCTGAGGTGTTCAGGCCATTTTCGTTTGAGACATCCTCGCAATTCCGGGTTCGGGTGTGTCCTCAGCTGAGGTGGTCAGTTCAGTTTCGCTTGAAACATCATGGCAACGTTGACATCGGAGATGCACTGGCCCGTAGTAGTCCGGCTACTTTCGCCTGAGACCCTCGCACCTCTGAGTTGCGAGATGCCCTGAGCAGGCGGTCGAGCCACTACCGCCTGAGATGCGCATGTGTATGGTTGCCCATAATTACATATAGGTGCGTGCACCAACAAACACCTGCGATTGACATGCGTATGTAGATACACATGTTATTGGAATATGTATACACACAAACAACAGTATACATGTGTGCTATACACATAGATATATGTGCAGAGCGTGCATGCGCGCGCGTGTATACATGCATGCGCGTATGTACGCACGCACGCACCCCGCTTGCATGCGAAACTCAGAGGACCACCCTGCGGGTGATAAGGAGGTGAAGGGGGGAGGGGGAAACAACGTCTCATTCAATCGATTTCGCTATCGATCTCACAATCGATCACACAATCGATCTCGCTATCGATATCACTATCGGTCTCGCTATCGATCTCACTATCGATCTCACAATCGATGTCACAATCGATGTCACAATCGATCTCACATTCGGTCTCACATTCGGTCTCACTGTCGATCGCACTATCGATCCCACAGTCGATCTCACAGTCGATCTCACATTCGGTCTCACATTCGGTCTCACTATCGATCCCACTATCGATCTCACAATCGATCTCACAGTCGATCTCACATTCGATCTCGCATTCGATTTCACTATCGGTCCCGACGAGCAACATCGTCATCATCATCATCAGCATCATTACCATCGTCGGGACACCGTCATCATCACCATCATCAATCATCATCATTCTCACCGTCATAGCCATCATCATCGGGACGCCATAATCATCATCAACATCATCATCAGCACCATCATCATCGGGACAGCATCACCATCATCTCATCATTCTCATCATCACCATCGGGACACCATCATCATTATCGGCATCATCCTCATCAACGTCATCATCATCATCGGGACACCATCATCATCATCAACATCATCATCACCAGCATCAACATCATCACCAAAAACATCGTTATCGGGGCACCATCATCATCAACATCATCAGCGTCATCATCACCAGCATCATCACCATCATCACCATTATCATCATCTCATAATCGATCTGACTATCGATATCACAATCGATTTCACTATCGATCTCACAATCGATCTCACATTCGGTCTCACTATCGATATCACAATCGACGTCATCATCATCATCATCATCATCATCAACACCAATACCATCATCATCATCATTGACATCATCAACATCATTCATCATCACCATCATCATCACCACCATCATCATAATCATCATCATGGTCATCATCAACATCATCATCGGGACACCGACGGGGCACCGACGGGACACCGGCGGGACACCGCGCGCCACCGGCCGCCCGGAAGAGGCACATTTGGTCAGGCCGCGCCTCAGCCTTAAGGACACCGACGGGACACCAGCGGGACACCGGCGGGACACCGCGCGCCACCGGCCGCCCGGAAGAGACACATTTGGTCCGGCCGCGCCTCAGCCACAGGAGATTTTCTCTCGCCCGCCCACGCAGCTTCGCCTCGCCCGCACGCACGGCACGCACGAACACGAAACCGAAATCGATTTCCCGGTAGGGGGGCTCTCCGTTCCACTTCGATCTCACCCCCTCACCTCCGATACACACACACACACACACACACATCGGAGTAGGCCAGTGGAGGGCCCAGAATTGCTGCCTCTGGTTCGTATGGGGGGCCCGGAGGGCCTTGAGGGCTCCAAGAGGGTCCAGAAGGGGCCCCGGACCCCCACCGAGGCTCCCAAGCTGGCCCAACAGGCGCCCAAAGCGCCCCAGGTTGTCTGGAAGGTGGCTGAAGAGCGCGTTGAGATGGCTTCTGGACGGGCCACGAGCGCTCGAAGACAGCCCAAGAGTGCCCCTAGACGGCCACAAAGGTATTCAAGACGGTCCAAGAGGCCGTCGAGAAGGCCCTCCAAGGGCAGACATCAAGCATTTCCTACGGGAAAACGTATATTATTATTTTTTAGATTTGCTTTTCAGTCCTACGGCGGCCGCGACGGCCCCAGAGGCTCCCAAAATGAGCCCCAGACGGCCCAAGAGGCCCCCAAGAGGGCCCCCAGACGGCATGAAGAGAGCTTCAAGCAGCACAAGAGAGCCCCAACAAGGCCCAAGAGAGTACCCAGGAACCCCCTCGGGGGCCACCGGAGGATCCCTACATGGTCGGAGAGGGCCCCCAGAGGGCCCCAGGTCCCCATGGAAGGCGAAGAGAGACCCGGAACGGCCGAACTGGGCTCCCAGAGGGTCCCAAAAAAGGCCTACCAGGTCTCCGTGAAGACGGTCCAGGAGGACGCTGAGAAGGCTCCCGGGTGCAAAGAACAAGCATTTCCCTGGGGCGGTCGAACGGACTCCCGCCATGAAGCAGCGCCCGAGGTCCGATTCGATTCGCTGTGAGTCGCCGGCATCGGCCCCAGCCAGCACCGGCTGGGGCCTGGCGCGGCGATCCGAGTCCGATCCGGTTCGGGACGAGTCAGGTCCGGTCCGGTTTCGTGGTCTGGTCCCGTCCGGCTTCGCTGCTCGATCCAGCTCAGGCCCGCCTCGTGGCGCGGCCTGCTCGGCACCGCATCTCCCGCAGGCCCGGATCGGACGGCAGCAAGGACGACCCAGAGGTGACGGTCATCGATCTGGAGGTTGACATATTTCAAGTGGTCGGGGCGCTCGTGGCCTGCGCCCTAGCGAGCCCCGTCGCCTCGTCCACGTCATGATGCCGACTCCGGGCAAGAGGGAGGGAAGGATCGAAGGAAGGAGGGAAGGGTGGGAAGGAGAGGAGAGGCTGCATAGACGAAGAGGGAGGACGGGAGGAAGGCAAGGAGAGGGAGGGGAGAGAGTCGTATTCCCAGGTACCTCCCACAGTGCTGGTGGCGAGCGCTTACTCTGGGCCGTGTTTGGCCTCTCTCTGCTGCCATTTTGTTTGCCTGTCTGTGTCCGCAGCGCTCGCCGCCTAGCCTAACTTGTTTGCTTCTTCGCCTAAGTCGGCGATTGGTTTCTTTGGCATTAACGCCACAAGCCCGCGCTTCAGGTCCGAACAGCGTCGAAAGGGAGAGCGTCGTAGAGGGAAGGTTGCATCGACATACCTGCTTGGAGTTCCGGAAGTGTATGCCCATGCCGCTGACGGCTGCTCCTGGAGATCGAGATATGGGATCGATGATTGCAGGATCGGTGTGCCCCGAAATCGATGCCCCGTCGGATCTGCGAAGCATGCCTACGATGCTCCGTAGAGCTGCTGACTGCTCCACGTTTTTGTTTTTGTTGCTCGTGGGTTCGACGAGACAAGAAAGTCTGGGAGTCACGAAGCTGCAGGCGACCCCTCGACTCGAAGAGAGGGAGGGCCACCGGCTCAGCGGCGCGAGCGCTTGCCCGACACCGGAGAGAGAAGGGCGAGAGGGCGGCCGGGGGGGGCGCGGCACGGAGCGCCTGCGGAGCGGGACGCGGGGAGCCGGGAGGAGGGTCGGAAAGGAGGAGCGGAATACAGCGGGGGCCTTCTTCTTCTTCCTCCTCCTCCTCCTCCTCGTCCCCCTCCTCCTCCTCCTCCTCTCCTCCTCCTCCTCCTCCTCCTCCTCCTCCTCCTCCTCCTCCTCCTCCTCCTCCTCCTCCTCCTCCTCCTCCCCCATCTCCTCCTCCTCCTCCATCTCCTCCTCCTCCTCCTCCTCGCCCTCCCCTCCTCGGGTCGCCTACGGCCCCAGGGGAAACCGTCCAAGTGGGGCCCATGCCGAGAAACAATCTTGCTTGCCTCCAGGGTGCCCTGGTTTCTTGGGTTTCGATGGTTCTTCGATGGGAAACGCGACGTTCCGACGCCCAGAATCGAGGGACGTCCTGGGGTCTCAGGGTCTGGTGTCTTGTGGGAGGTTGTTGTGGACTGGCCTCCACTGTAAGCACAAACCTTCGGAGGTCCTCGCGGACGGCTTGCATCGCCCCCAGCACTCTCCGCGCGGCCTGCTTGCATCTGCCGCGCCATCCCCTTCGCCCCGGCGCCTACCGCCAGCCAGCGGCCTTCGTCCCCCCTTTTCTGCTGGCCGGAGCTGGAGCTGGGCCACCTCAGCCCCCCAGCCCGCTCCAAGTTGGGATTAGCTGAGCAACAAAACTGCAGAATTGTACTTCTAGACGCTTCGCGTAATCCCACCAGCCCGCGGGCGCCTGGCTTGAGGTATTATCAGCCTTCAGCTGCCTGCTGCGCCGCCCCTCCTCAGTCCCTGGCGCCCGGTGGTATCCGTGCTGGCTTCTTCGAGCCTGGTGTGGCACCCTGGCGTCCCGGTGACCCGCACGTCGACCAGCCCCAGCTTGCGTGTTCCTGGCCTCTGGTCCTCAGACACCGCCACAGCCTGGCCGTGTTTGCAGCTGCCGCTTGCAATGGTGGGATGCGCCTCCACGTGGATTGATCAGGAGTGGTTTAGCCTTCTTGTTCAGCCATCTGAGGTTGCCACTGATGGCATGCGACACAGGTACTCTGGACTGCTTGCGCAGCCCCGCGTTTTGCCACGCTCGGTGGCACGATTACCTCTGGCGCCTGGCGCGACAGGGTACAATTCGTTCGTCTTCCTGGTGGTCTCGCCTCTGGGGTGGTTGCTCTTCGGCCGCCTGGCACACCTGGCAGCTCCTGCAGCCCGCCTTCAGCCCCCGGCGCCGCTCAGCGTCCTTCCGCGGCAGCTCTGGCAGCCGTGACTGCGCTCACTGGATAATTAGGCTTCCTTCGCCCGTAGCCCGGGACGTCGTCTGACGCCGCCTGCGCCTTCGCTTGCGGCCGCGACCCAAAAAAGTAATCCCACCAGCCCATCCGGAAACGATGCTCAGGCGAGTTGCCTTGATCAGGGATGTGGAGACGCACGCAGTGGAACAGAGGGCGGGGGAAGCCGCTGTGGCCCAAGAGGGGGGGGAATGGAGGAGTAATCGGAGCAGGAGGAGGGGAAGTAACCTTAGGAGGTCGTTGGTTGTGCATCCCCCACCCCCGCTTCTCTCGGCGGGGAACAAACTCGCCCTTCCTCCTCATGCCCCTCCTCCTTTTCCTCCTTTTCCTCCTCCTCCTCGTCCTCCTCCTTCTCCTTCTCTTCCTCCTCCCCATCCTCCTCTTCCTCCTCTTCATCCGACTTCTCCTAAGAGACTCCGCAAAGGCACCCAAAGAGGCCTTTGGCCTGTCTGATCGCCTTCATATTCCTCCTACTCTTCCTCATCCGCCCATCATTCCTCCCCCTTCTTCCCTCCAGCCCCCTCCCTCCTCTTCCCCCTCCTCCGACTCCTCTTCCATCCTCCGCCTCTCGGGGTATGACGGATTTTGAGATCGATTGTGAGATCGATAGTGAGATCTGTTGCGAGATCGAGCGTTTGATCGACGTGAAATCGATTGAATGAGACGTTGGTTCCCCCTCCCCCCCGAACGTCCATGTCACCCGAAGGGTGGTCGTATGGGTATGGTTTATTGGCAGGGATTCTGGGGGGGAGGCTGTCGGTCGCCAGGGTGGGCGGGAGTTTCGTATTGAGGAACAGTGAGGAGCTCCTCCCCACAGAGGAACGATGGGGGGTTGGAAGAGGAACTAAACCGCCTACACTCAGGGGCAGAAAAAAACACCCCTACCCTGGTTTACGAGGCGCTGTGCGCTGAAACTCCTGTGGGCTGACAGGGTAAACCCTGCGTGATGTGCCGCGTCCTGGCGGCTCTAGGCTTTGGGGGTTCCCAGGAGGTTTTCAGACCACGCATTTGTAACCCAGGGTAGGGTCGTTTTCTCATCCCTCAATACACCCTTAAGGGCTAGTTGGACGTAGTTCAGCCGTTTTTGCCTATCTGGTCCCAGCTTGAGCTGGCTGGGGGGCTGAAGCGGCCTAGCATCAGCTCCGGCCAGCAGAAAGGGAGAGGAAGGCCACCTGGCTGGCGCGGGGCGCGGGGGCGAGGGGGCTGGGGCGGCAGATGGGGTTCGTCGCTGCGCGCCCCGCCCCGCCACCATGGGGGTTCTGTCGCGGACGCGACAGCGCCCCATGCTGCACCACAGCTTTGGCATTCCTTGGTGGCGCGCCGGTCCGCTCCTCTCCCCATCCACTGTCCTCTCCCTTGCCCCCTCCCCCGCCACCCTCCAGCTGCTTTTGCCCCTGTCCGCTTCCTCTGCTCCCTCTCCTGTTCCCTCCTCATCCTCCTCCTTTTTCCCTTTTGCTTATACGTAACTTTTCCCTGCCGCACCCCGAGGCAAGTTTTTAGGGTGGGGGACATAACAGTTGGCAACAGTTTCACAGATGGAGGGCGGGTGGTTTTCAAAATGTGGCTCTCGCCCTAGCGCCACGCACATTCGTCGTACAAGTTTGCAAGAGCATCGCGGCTTGAGGGCGGGTGGTTTTCAAAATCTGGCTCTTGGCCTAGCGCCGCGCACATTCGTTTAAAACAACATGCAAGAGCTTCGCGGATTGAGGGCGGGTCGTTATCAAAATGTGGCTCTCGCCCTAGCGCCGTGCACATTTGGTTTTTAAATGACAAGAGTTTCACGGATTGAGGGCGGGTCGTTTTCAAAATGTGGTTCTCGCCTTAGCGCTGCGCGCATTCGTAAATGTGGTTCTCGCCTTAGCGCCGCGCACATTCGTTTTAAACAGTTGCAAGAGTTCCACGGATTCCCACGATCGACGTACCAGAAATTGCGTTCTGGAAGGAGTCATGATCAGGAGGGTGCAACAGTTATGATGATTCGCGGTGTTGAAGTCCCAGGAATGGCGTTTTGGCACGACTCAGGGTCATCAAGACGCAACAGTCAGGTTGATCCGTAGTGTTGGAACCCCGAGTACAATGTTTTGGCATGCTTCATGGTCTTCAAACGGTTGTCTTCCAACGAGGCAGGTCCCTCTGTGGAAACGAACCGTTGCAGGGGCCTGTGAAGAGGGAGTTTGGGGGGAGGGTGCATTCCAACATCGTTGGCGACTCTCAGGTTTACACTGGTCCTCCTCCTCCTCCTCCTTCTCCTCCTCCTCCTCCTCCTCCTCCCCCTCCTCCTCCTCCTCCTTCTCCTCCTCCCCCTCCTCCTCCTCCTCCTCCTCCTCCTCCGGTTGATTGAGAGGGGCTGCGGCACATCCATTCTTTCTCAGTGCTTCTCCACAAGAAATCGGGGGGGCCCATGATTATTCCTGCTCGGGCAAGATGAGCGCTCCTTCTCGCCCCTACGCCAATGCCGCGCAGGTGATCAGCTACAACCCTCTCTCCACCCTCAACTGCGGCAGGCTCGACGACATCTTCAGTGAGTTCAAGCACAAGGCGGTCATCGGGTTGCAAGGTACCAGACTGCCAGGACATGATCTTGCTATCGAACAGCGAAGTATTGGAAATCATATATTATATTCTGCTGGATATGGGCGGCGTTCTAACAAGCATGCAGGCGTGGCAATTGGACTTCATCGGCGTCTGTTTCGTGACACCTCTATCAAGGAGATCAAGGTGCCCAAGGACCCGAGCTTGCAAGGGCGTGGCATCCTTATACGCACCCGCACTGACAACATGGATGTTGCATGGATATCTTTGTACTTTCCTCCTGAGAACGTTGGCAACCACAAGCCTAGGTCCCCGTTCCAGAAGCTTCTTTCGTGGACTTCACAGGTTCTTGCTGGACTACCCGCACGCGTTTTACCAATAGTGATGATGGACGGTAATGGCAGAGTTGGCATGCTTGCTGGACCTCAGGGCGTACCCTGTCCAGATGATTGTTTCGCGATTGGCCCACACTTCAGAGAACCCACCAACACGAACGGCAGCTACTTGAGGCAATTCTGGCTCGACTTTCACTTGTGTGCGGTGAATACATACTTTCCTCACGGAGCTGGACCTACTCATTATAACTTAGGCATGAACACCCAGCACAGGATCGACTACATATGCGTACCTTATGGATTTCTGACATCTGGAGCTATACATTCGGCATTCGTTCTTGAGCGTGCTGGCGATCGACTTCAACTCATACAAAGCATTCGCAGAGCTGATCACCGACCCGTTCAGATAAATCTTGATATTCAACTGCAGTACGATGGCAACAAGCAGACTATGAAATGGAATCGAGAAGGTATGATGCAGGAAATGCTACATGGTGGACTTCGAGATTTGATATACACCGACATCACCCAGTGGTGCCAGGACAGCGAGCAGCAGTGGCAGCAGATCTTGGACACAGGCTCGGTTACACAATCATGGCAGTTTCTCGTGGACGGATTGCAGCCCATCGCTCAGAAGCACTTCGCACCACACCCTGACACGAACCTTCGGGACAAATCGAAGCAAAAGATTCAACTTCTTCGAGAACGGCGCGATCTTCGACAAGCGGTGGCCCAGCAATGGACACATGACGGCCTGGGACCTCTGAGATATATCTTTCGCATTCTTGGCATTGGATCGAGCATGCACTCTTTGCGAGATCTACTACACGGATGGCGAGTTGCTGTGTGTCTTGGCAAGGCGAGTAGAAAGGTCACCTCACATATCAAGCAAGCGCAGATTGATCGACAGCTGGCACTGATGGAGGCATGTACGCAGGCATGGAATGATAAGCGCCATGCGGAGGCGCACCAACTCGCACGAATGATTACAGGAAAAAGACTTGGACCCAAACGACGACGGTGCGGACGACCTATTACGTTGCGACTTACCCGAGATGAAGCTGAACAACGTTTCTCGAAAGCAGGAGCTCTTAAAGGATGGGGTGCTCGCAGGATCACGGACGCCATGCTCTTCACTCAGGCACAACAGTCTTGTCACCCCCCTACTCCAGACGCACGGCCACAGGCTGAACGCGATCTTCTTCGTACCATTCGAGCTCTTGGCAAGGCAAAAAATCGACGGGCGGCTCCGGAATGGGATTTACCTTCTGAGATAAGGCGTATCTTTCTTTCTCCACCTTGTGGCACGGTGGTACAGCATGGCATTGGATTGGACACTCCCACAGAGCAGCTGCAGTGTATTTATGATCGGCTTTTGGTGTTTCATCAGGAGGTTCGCGCGAACAACAAGGCTCCACAGCAGTGGCATCGAGATAAGTGTTTTGGAATCCCCAAGGACTTAGACGACACGCGATGGGTACATGGATATGGTGCTTACAGTAACTCTTTCTATCGCGGCCTCTTTCGTAACCAACCCGCAGACATACTCTATCCTCACGCGTATCATGTTCCTGGAAGGAGGTGCGAGGGTGCAATCGCGGCTACCACGGTCATGATGGATCGACTTCGGAAGGCTCGGAAATCTCACATCGCTCTCAACTTCGACGCGGTCAACGCTTTCAATTGCGTGAAGCAGGATATCATCATCCCCCCCCACCGCCTCCGAGAGTGACGCGAAGCTTTTTGATGATCGCGTTGGTGGATGCGTTACGTAGCATGACGCTCTAGATGGCAGGGTCAACTTTCACCACGGCGAAGGCGTTACACAAGGGAGTTCGCTCGGCACTGGTCTTTTTGAGAAAGCGCATGGCGCATCGGTCGACGACTGGCGAGCTGACACAACAGATCCACAGTTGCAGGTCCCCTCGGTAGTTCGTGACAATATCGTTGATTGCTCGATCTTTAGATTCGTGGACGACGTCAGGCGCCTACTGCGCGTTCAAGGATTTGCACAGATGAGGGACTCTACTTCACGATGCATCGATTCTCTGTCGCAACACCTCCTGGAGATAGGTTGCGCGCAGAATGAGAAGAAGCTGGAGGCCACCGCCTTCTTCATGGGTAAGCTATCTGGCAATCTACAGCGACGTGCCTATGCAGATCCATGGATGCCTGGACGTGTGATGCGAGAGGCTCGATATCTTGGCCCCATGCTTCACTATCGCGGATACACGGGTGTGGAACTTAATCGACGGATTCAGGCGTGCAAGAAGAACTGGTACATGTTTCACAGGTTCTGGTTCAGCAGCGTCTGCCGAGACTTCAAGATCATCTTGTTTCGCATGATGTGTATGGCTTGTCTCATGTCTGGTGTCTTGGGGCTGCCTTTCACCAAAGAGGACGAGGCCAAGCCCGACAGAACTCAGATATGGTATTGTCGTAAATTGATGCAGGGCGCGGCGACGAATACCACCCTCCTTCCCGACGGCACCGAGAAGAAGACTAGCCTCGCTTCTGCACGAGTTTTGCAGCTGCTCCGATTAGCACCCGTCTCGTTGGAGCTCAGGATTCAGAGATTGAGGTGGTACCAGGCAATGTTCAGGGCCCCAGCAAAAAAAAAAAAAAAAAAAAAAAAAAAAAAAAAAAAAAAAAAAAAAAAAAAAAAAAAAAAAAAAAACGAACAGCTCCTGACTATCCTCTTGGCCCCCCAGATGCCCTTCGAGCAGGGCCCAGTGGAGCTTAACTTTTTCGTGAAACGGATGATTGAGGATCTGAACTCGCTCGCGGAACTCGAGGAGGGTGCGGATTTCGTGGATAGGTACGAGGGCGCCCCCCAAAGGCTCTTGCTGGATCAGGATCTGAAGGCCCACTTCTTGGACATCGACGTCTCAGAGCTTCGGAGTAAGTACCTCTCGGTTGCCGCGCCTCCTCCAGGCCACCATCAGCCCCCTCAGGATCCCGAAGATGAACCCCCACATGCTCGTGAATACCGATGTCATGATCTTCTCCCGAATGGACAGGAGTGTGGAGAGACGTTCGAGACCCTTAGAGCCCTGCGAGTCCACCAATCTCGTGTTCGAAGAGCGGACGGTGTCGTACATGTTGAGAAGTTCGTGCAAAGTAGTATGTGTCCATGGTGTTCGTCTGGGTTTAGCAGTCGGGACTCAGTGGTATCACATGTGCGCCATGCTTTCATTCAGAATCGGTGTCTTACGGATCGTGCCATGACACCACAAAGTGTACCAGATGAAGTTGAGCTTGTATGCCCTTTGTGTGAACAGCACTTTACGTCTCTGGCATTATATCACATGCATGTTCGGTCGCATGTTCCAGGGCCTCGAGATATTCATTTATCAGTAGCTCGTTCGGGGCTCGAGATCATCCCAGAACTGGCCGCGCGGTTCGGCCACCTACCTCTCCGTGGACGTAGAGGCCATGCCCCTCGAACTCGCGCTCCCGCCAGCGCAGCGGCAGCGCAGGGAGGGGCCCCTCGGCAAGGCGCTGAAAGAGGCCGACAAGGACAATCTGAAGGCGATCAAGGATATGATGATTCTCGTAGCGAAGTTGGGACTGGCAGCCGAGTATCAGGCACGTGTGGCGAGAGCGGTATCGGACTTGGAGGCGCGCGTGTGCCCGTTGTCGGTCGAGATGGCGCAGGCCGGCTTGGATGCGGGTCGCGGCCACGCGCAGCAAGCAGCGGGAGTGGCCAAGGAGGATCGAGAGCAACAGTTGGGTCTCCCGCACACGTTGATATTCTTGGCCATCATGAACAAAGCCGAGCAGCAGGCCGTGCAGTTGAGCGGCCAGGCGAAGACGGACTTCGAGCGCTACACTGCCAACTACACGCAGATAAAGGAATCCAAGGGCATGCAGGCCCTACATCACGCGTTGCAGAAGGACATCCCCTACTGCCGCGTGAAGAAAACGTACGCGCGGGACTACGCGAAGATAGAGATCAAGGTGAACAGATCGGCCGTGGCGTGGCCGGCTCGGGAGCATGCCAAAACGTTGTTGGGCAACCAGGGCGGCATCTTCAAATACGGGATGGCGCCTTCATCAGACATAGCGCGCCGCGTGCAGCAGGTGCTAGAGGAGCTTGGCGAGAGTCGTTCGCACGAGGAGAGGTACCGCTAGATGGCTCGAGCTCTTCTTCGACTGCGGAAAGAAATACTTCTGCTGGCTCGCTTTCTTCGACTGCGAACAGAACTACTTCTGCTGGCTCGTTTTTTCTTCGACTGCGGAAAGAAATACTGCTGGCTCGTCTTCTTCGACTGCTGGTGGAAATACTTCTGCAGGGCTCTCGCTTTCTTCGACTGCTGGTGGAAATACTTCTGCTGAATCCCTACAGCTACTTCGAGCAGCTGAGCGACTTCAGAGAGCGGGATCTGAGGCCGCCCGTTTTGCCGCTGCTGATGTTTCCTCTTCTCCTCCTCCTCCTCCTCCTCCTCCTCCGTCGCGTGAAGTAGTGCATCTCGATCGGCACGCTCGAGTTCAGAGCGTTCGTCGGGATGTAATTCGTCGTCGAGGCTGATGGCACCTCCGCCGAGGCGTCCCGTCTGTGGGGTGGGCGTCCCCTGCCCCCTTTCGGGTGCCTCGGGGGGGGTGCCTTCAGCTTCGGGCCCGAGCAGGCTGGGTCACGAGGCGGTGTCCCTGCCCTGCTCTGGCCTCCTAGGCTCCATAGGCCGTGTAGGAGGTTCGGAGTGTAGGGTCGGTGGGTTCGTTGGCCTTGTAGATTTCTTGTCGAGTAGGCCGAACTCCAGCCGATTTTCAGCACGTCTTCGTCCGATCGTAGCACTAGCGCACGCTGTAGAGCACATTTAGCAGCAGAGCAGAGACATATGGGACCAGGAAGGGCATTCATTCATTCATTCATTCATTCATTCATTCCTCCTCCTCCTCCTCCTCCTCCTCCTCCTCCTCCTCCTCCTCCTCCTCCTCCTCCTCCTGCTCCTGCTTCCCCCCAACGGCCCCAGCGGGGGCCGAGGTGGTGGCCGCCCTGGCCTATTTCGGCTTCAGCCTCGTGCGGGGCCTCCTGCCGCAGCCGCAGGACTACCAGGCGCGCCCCCCTTCTGGCGCAGCCCGCTGGGTGGGGACGGGTGGGGGGAGGGAGAGGACGAGGACGGGGGAGAGGGGGGGAAGGGGAGGGGGGGGAGGGGGGGAGAGGACGAGGACGGGGGGGGGGGGGGGAGGACGAGGATGGGGAGGGGGGGGGACGAGGATGGGGGAGGGGGGGGGGACGAGGAGGTGGGAGGGAGGGGGAGGACGAGGTGGTGGGAGGGAGGGGGGGAACGATGATGGGGGAGGAGGGGGGGGACGAGGAAGTGGGAGGGAGAGGACGAGGACGGGGAAGGGGGGGGGGGAGGGGAGAGGGCGGCAAGCCAGGTGCGCTCGCGCCATATCTGACATCCCATCTCGCCCCTCCCATCCCTCCCCATTCTGCTGATGTTTCCTCTGCGGGCGCGTGTCGCGGCCGACCTGGAACTCCAACAAAGGCCCCGTCGAACAGCAGCAGCAGGAATTGGAGTGGAGGGAACGGGGGAAGCATGAGGACCATGGGAAGGCGGAGGAGCTGAGCAGGAGGAAAAGACGGAGGATGAGGAAGGAGGGAGGACGACGATGACCAACAGCAGGAGCGGGAATTGGGATGGAGGAGCGGGAGGAGCAGGAGGACCAGGGAAAGGCGGAGTAGGGGAAAAAGAGGGGCGGCAACGATGAGGAAGGACTCGGATCCAGAAAAGCGGCCCGCGCTGCGGCGAGAGTGAGATTCTGAACGACGGGAGCAAAGCGCCGATCCAAAAATGAGGCCCACGCTGCAGCAGGAGCACCATCTTGAAGCACCGCAAACAAACGGATTGCATACAAACACGTAAGGAAGACCACTGTGAATAAAAACACCGTGCGCGCATAGGGCGGCACATCTTCCAGACAGAGGAGGGGAAAGAGGAGAGCAGTGCAATTCACGCGTAATGTGTAATTGTAGGGACGGACGGAGGGACAAGGAGAAGGAGGAGGAGGAGGAGGAGGAGAAGAAGGAGGAGGAGGGGGCACCTTCCTCCTCCTCCGTTCCTCTTTCTCCTCCTCGTTATCATCTTCCTCGTGGAGTAAGTATCGAAGATCAGAGGAGCAAAAGGTTATGATATCGGCGTGTTCCAATACATGCAGAATACCAAATATTCCCTGATGTCCAATACGGTCTGCAGAAACGAGGACCTCTAGATACTCCAGAATTCGTGGGACGTGTCCTGTGTCACATCGTAGCATGTCATCCATATCACTCTAGCTCAGCGAGGGCCTTGACTGATGCTACGCGAGCGCCCAGCCGCCAGATGCATGACCCAGGCTTCCTTTCGCCGGGATTGTTTTCGCCGTTGCCAGGCTTCGTTTCGCCGGGCTTGGCTTTCGCCGAGGTTGGCTTTCGCCAGGCTTCTCTTCGCTGGGCTTCTTTTCGCTGGGGTTGGCTTTCGCCGGGCTTTGTTTCGCCAGGATTGGCTTTCACCAGGGTTGGCTTTCGCCCGGGTTGGCTTTCGCCGGGATCGGCTTTCGCCGGGCTTCGTCTTGCTGGAGTCGGTTCGCCCGGGGGTGGGCGCGGGCTTCAACGCACAGGTCGGGTCGGGCGGGCGGACCCTAACAGGCGGGACGGGTCGGGTCGGGTCGGGCGGACCCGAACGGGCAGGTCGGGTCGGGCGGGCGGGGCACTAAGCTCTGGGGCGCGCCATAGCGAGCACGCGTGAACCCTAACGGGCGGGTCGGGTCGGGCGGGGGGACCCTAACGGGCGGGACGGGTCGGGTCGGGTCGGGCGGACCCGAACGGGCAGGTCGGGTCGGGCGGGCGGGGCACGGTGTGGGGCGCGCCCGAGCGAGCACGCGTGAACCCTAACGGGCGGGTCGGGTCGGGCGAACGGGCAGGTCGGGTCGGGCGGGGGGGCACTAAGCTCTCGCATAGCGAGCATACGGGCTAAAGCACGCGTGAACCCTAACGGGCGGGTCGGGTCGGGCGGGGGGACCCTAACAGGCGGGACGGGTCGGGTCGGGTCGGGCGGACCCGAACGGGCAGGTCGGGTCGGGCGGGCGGGGCACGAACGTGTGGGGCGCGCCCGAGCGAGCACGCGTGAACCCTAACGGGCGGGTCGGGTCGGGCGGGGGGACCCTAACGGGCGGGACGGGTCGGGTCGGGTCGGGGGGACCATAACGGGCGGGACGGGTCGGGCGGGCGGGGCACGAACGTGTGGGGCGCGCCCGAGCGAGCACGCGTGAACCTTGGCGGGCGGGTCGGGTCAGGGGGGGGCCCCCTGCTCCCCGGTACAGCAAGGGCGGCGTGCATGTGTAGGCCAGGCCGTCTGGGAAGAAGGCGGGGGGGGCGTGTTTCTGGTGCTGCTGCGGGAGCGCACGGGAGCTCCAGCCAACCGGCCGCGGGCAAGAGGAGCCGGGGGAGGAGAGGAGGAAGAGGAGCAACAGCAGCAGAAGAGGAGAGGAGCCGGAGGAGGAGAGGAGGAAGAGGAGGGCGAAAGCCCACCCGGGCGAAAGCCAACCCCGGCGAAAGCGAGCCTGGCTGAAGGCGAGCCCGGGCGAAGCCCCAGCCGGGCGAGAGCCAACCCTGGCGAAAGCCGACCCGGGCGAAAGCCCACCCAGGCGAAAGCCAGCCCGGGCGAAAGCGAACCTTGCCGAAAGCGGGCCCGGCCCCAAGACGGCCCAACAGGCCCCCAAGTCGGCTCCAAGATGGGGCCCAGACGGGGGATCCGAACGGACTTTTTCGGGCCCTCGGCCCCAAGAGGCCCCAAGAGGCCCCCAACAGGCCCCACGGCCCCCAAGATGCCTGCAAGCCGCCCCCAAGAAGCCCCCCGGGCGAAAAGCATCCACGCGCCTTGGGCCGCCCCCTGGCGGATCTCCCCCCGCGCCAGGGCAGCCCAGCCGGCGAGGCCCGAGCGCTGCTGACAACGGCCGGGCGCGCCGCCCACGCCCACCGCGGCAAGTCGGCCCACGGTCGGTCCACAGTGACCTTCAGCGTCGCCGTGGGCATCCGCAGCGGCCGAGGCGGCCCCGTCCAGAAGAGGGCGCGCCGCGGAAGAGCGAGGTCTGAGCGACTTCGAGGGCGCGCCGCGGAAGAGGGCGCGCCGCGGAAGGCGGATAAGCCTCCCTCCCCCGAGCGAGGTCTGGGCCACTTCCCCGCGACCGGTTCTTCATTCCGGCCCTTCTGCATGGTTCTCGGGGGCCCGGAGGCCAGAAACGGCCAAATGAAATCCCTCGTGCTGTTTAGCAAGATGCAGGCCGAAGCAGCCAAGCACACACACACACACACACACACATTCCGACTCGATATGTTCAAAAGTGCGAGTTGGTCTGCGGTCCCTGCTGCCGCCCCAAAACGTCCCCCCCCCTCAGGGCCTGCCTCAGGGGCACCGATAATAAGGGGGAACGCATCGGCCCTCAATCGCCCACCGGGGTCGCCGATAGGGGTCTGATAGCCACGATTCGCTAACTATTCAAGGGAACAACAAGTGGCATAAACATAAAAAACTCGGAGGTCTGATTTTTTAATGTTTATGTCACTTTTTGTTCCCCTATTATTGCAGGCCTATCGGCGGTCAGTCGGCGATGCATTGCCGATTAGGTCGATGTTTGCCCCCCTGTTCCAGTCTACTGGTGCCTCCCCGCCAGATGGAGCAGGCGGCGCTGCCGACGTACTCGCTCAAGAGCAGCCCCGCCGCGAGCCAGGGCGCCGCCGGCGCGCCGATGTGCTCTCCCTCCCCGGCCCGGCCGGCAGGGGAGCAAGGGACACGCCGCCCGCGAGGCTCACTCGCATGGGCGCGAAGGTACGGTCAGGAATTTTTGGATGCAGCTCCTCCTCCTCCTCCTCCTCCTCCTCCTCCTCCTCCTCCTCCCTCCCTCCATCCCTCCCCCCTCCCTCCTCCCCTCCCTCCCTCCCTCCCTCCCTCCCTCCCTCCCTCCCTCTCTCTCCCTCCCCCTCCCTCCCTCCCTCCCTCTCCTCCCTCCCTCCCTCCCTCCCTCCTCCCCAGACACGGCCGCCACCACGGATCGTAAGAAACAACGCGTTCCTCGATCCCCTGGGCCATATAGGCCCTATAGGTGTAGCGTGCCTCTTGACGTCGAGACCAGCGCTGCCCACGGCGCTCCTTTTTACAGTGGAGGCCCTTTCCAAGAAGCACCCTGCTTGCCTCCAGGGTGCCCTGGGTTTCTTGGGTTTTGAGGGTTTTGCCATGGCAGGCGTGACGCTCTCACACCAAAAGTCGATAAACGTCCTGGGGTCTCAGGATTGGGCTTCTTGCGGAAGATTTTCTTGTGGTCGGGCCCTTACTGCAAGATACGGTCCGAATTGTTGTTGATAGTGTGTGGGTTCTGGCCCACTACGTTTTTCATGACGCCAACATCGCAGAGCGGATTGTGTTCGGGCTGTGACCAGGAAGTGGAGGAGGAGGACGACGAGAAAGGGGAAGAGAAGGTCGGCCCGCCAGCTGCCCGCGAGGTACTCGCTCGGCGGCGGGCCCCAGGGCCTCGAGCCCGGGTGAGACCACCTCGCGGCGCCCGCGCCCGTGGTCGAAGGCGCGGGCCGCGGGCGGGAACACGGCTCCTCCCCGCCATTCTGCCTCCTTCCTCTTCCTCCTACCTCCTCTCACATCCCTCCTCGCTCCTCCTCCTCCTCCTCCTCCTCCTCCTCCTCCTCCTCCTCCTCCTCCTCCTCACCCATCACCCGAGTCACGTGCCCCTGTACGAGTGTTTGAGTTCTTGGATCTTGCGTGTCCCTGGCGGGATCATTCGTGTTGCTTGTCTTCTTGTTCCTGCTTTCCTCCTCCCCGTCGAAGCTTCGAGGTGTGGGCGCACTCACGGCCGCTGGGCAGACAGATCAGCTTGTCTGAGCAGAGCAGCGCCCAGGGAAGCGACGGTGGCAGCACGGGCGACTGATGGCACGGCGAGCGCAACGGCGGAGTTTCGACGAAGAAAAAATTGCATAAGCCTAAATGTTTGGCGCTCCGCGCGGAGTCCTTGGATCCGCGCTGCCCCTCCCCCCCCCCCTGTGGCGCCTCCGGCGCGCGCCAGGGAGGGGGGGTCCCAGCGCAGATCCGAGAAGTCCACGCAGAGCGTCCAGAGTGTATGTTCATGCCGTTCTTTCTCCCTCCAATGGCATCGTCCTCTCCCTGCTTCTCGTCGTCGTCGCTCGCCTGCTCCCTCCTGGCTTTATGATGTTCCAGCTTATGTGTAGTCTTCATCACCAGGAAGAATTTCGAGCACCAAAACACTACCGAAACTCGAGGCTTATCACGTGTCGGGCCGTGGGAGACACTCGTTCGACAGCTTCGACACTCTTCCGACACCCTTTTGACACTTCCCTGGGTGCTCGAAATTATTTCTGGGACGTGGTCCTTGAGTACGATGGGAACCACATACAGTGCCAGTTGTAATACATGCTCCCCGTGCGGACCATCATTACAAAAATCAGGGGCTTAGTATCAAAAACAAGGGTGAGCTCATGCATAGTTTTATGCACAAGCGAACCATGCATTAAACATCATATGTTTATATACTCCAGATTTCGTAATCAAAGGGAGGGGGTCTGGACCCTCCAAGACAAGCCATTTCAGACCTCCCCCGTGGGAGAACCCTCCAAAACATCGTCCCCAGACCCCCCAGGCCCTCCAAGATAGCCTGGAAGAGAGCCCCCCCGAAATGAGACCCCCCTCCCTTTATTACGAAATCTGGAGTATATATATATATATATGATATATATATATATAGAGAGAGAGAGATATGGTTCTGGAAAAAACTGTGTATCAAACACTGCCCTGCAATCCTGGCCCATCAAAGACGAAGTCCAGCTGCTGGCGGCGAGTCCGCCCGCGGAGCCCCCAGCACGTGGCGGTGGGTCGAGGAGCGCGCTCACCGGAGGCCGCGGCCTGCGGCGCCCCGCACGCCCCGAGGCTCGTGTTCGGCGTCTCCTCCTCCTCCTCCTCCTCCAACCCCTCCTCCAACCCCTCCTCCCCCTCCTCCTCCCCCTCCCCTCCCCCTCCTCCTCCCCCTCCTCCTCCCCTCCTCCTCCTCCTCCCCCCTCCTCCTCCTGCTCCTCCTCCCCTCCTCTCCCCCCTCCTCCTCCTCCTCCTCCTCCTCCTCCTCCTCCTGCTCCTGCTCCTCCTCCTCCTCCTCCCCCTCCTCCCCCTCCTCCTCCTCTTCCCACGTGTTTCTTCTTATCTCCTCTCCTGGGGCCTCTCCGGGGGGCATTTTGGGGGCGTCTTAGGTGTGTCTTGGGGGTCTGGCCTATTGGGGTTTCCTGGGCCGTGTCCGTCTCGGGGGCCGCTGTGCGCCGTCTTCGGGCCCTTCTGAAATCCTGAATGGTCGTCTTGGGGAACTCCTGTGCCGTCTTGGGACTTCTTGGATCTCTTCTCGCAGGCCTCCCGGGTAGTCTTGTGAGCTTGGGGGGGCTCTTCTGGAGTCCTGTTGGGTTGCCCTTGGACCAACTGAAAAGCATGTTGGGTCATCTTGGGCTGACGGACGCCTGAAAAGGTCATGACACGAAAGTGTGTTAAAATCCAGGGGGGATTCGCGGTGTTGCTTTCTTCGGGATCTATTGAGGATCCTCTTGGAGCCCGTTGGGGCCGTCTTTTAGGGGCCTCTTAGGCAGTCTTGAGGCCACGCAGTGGAGGCCCATGCCAAGAGACACCCTGCTCGCCTCCAACCCTGTGTGTCTCGGATTTCGATGGTTTTGCCGTGGAAGGCGTGACGCTCCCACACCAAAAGTCCATGGTCGGCCTAGGGTCTCAGGGTCGGGTCTCTTGCGGAAGATTTTCTTGTGGTCGGGCCCCTACTGCAAGATACGGTCCGAATTGTTATTGATAGCTTGTGGGTTCTGGCCCACCACGCATTTCATGACACCAACATCGCAGAGCGGATTGTGTTCGGGCTGTGACCAGGAAGTGGAGGAGGAGGACCACGAGAAAGGGGAAGAGAAGATCGGCGCGCCAGCTGCCCGCGAGGTACTCGCTCGGCGGCGGGCCCCAGGGCCTCGAGCCCTAGCTTCTGTTTGCGGAAGGTTTTCTTGCCTCCTCCTCTTCCCTCTCCATTGCACGGACCTGCCTTGGGGCGATCTTGAGCTGCCTCAGATGCAGCTCGGGCACGCAGCCCGGGCGCAGGAAGAGGGGGAGCCTTCTTCGCAGAAGTGAGAACGCCATACACCTAAACCTTTGGCGCTCCGCGCAGATTCCTTGGATCCGCTCTGGGTCCCCCTGGCGGCGCCTCCGGCGCCGGGGAGGGGGGTCCAGCGCGGATCCAAAAAACCCGCGCGGAGCGCCAAAAGTCGTATTTCTGGCGTTTTTGTTTTGCTTCTTCTTGTGCGACCTACAGAACTCTACCAGACAGCACGTGGCATGCTGCCGCGCCCGAACGTGCCAGGGGGGCACGGTGGCGAATGAATCCTCCTCGTCGCACCATCAGATGTGTCGTTAGGGTGGGCAGGGCGTTTCGCCCGAAATTTCCTCACCGCTTCTGATCCTGAAGCTTGACATTTCCAACCGCCACGCGCATTCCCAAGAGTCCGTCCATGGAGGGTGGATGTTGTTTAGAATGTTGTTCACGTCTCGGCGCCGCACATTTTCGTGATATGTCTTCTCAAATCGACTCAGATAAAGGACGTCTCGTTTTCAAAGTGATTTCTGGCGCAGATACGGGGCTCTCACATGATACCCATTTGAAAACGATTGCCGCACAATGCAGGGTGATTTCTTTCCAGCACGGGGTCCATGCCTCCTTGTCCACAGTGGCGCCCCCACCCGACGGAAGGACGAACGGAGAGAGGATAGTGAAGAACAAGCTAGGTGCGTTCGCGCCACATCCGCAGTCCTACCCCTCGCACTCGTACCTTCCCATCTTGTTGACTATTTTTAATCAGTCGACGTCGACTAGGGTTTCCTACGGGACCTTGATTCCCAAATGACATTCGCAGGAGTTCACCAGTCATGTGTTGTGCCATCGGCAAGGGGGGCTCGGAAGACGAGGAGGCGGATCAGCAGGAGAAGAATTAGGAAGCCGGAGGAGGCGCCAGGATCCCCGGCCACTTCAGAAGATCATTTG